AGGAATGAAAGATGAGATGGAGTAAGGCAGAGAAGTAAGGAGGCAGTCCAGAAGGTGACATACAAGCAGACGGCAGCCATAGTAGCCTCACCACCATCAATATAGGTAGTGTGCCTTACTGATTATTATTATTATTAGGTATCCTCAATGGAAGACCTCTTAAAGGCTACTTGATTTTTTTTTCTAACCTGAGAACGCCTCATCCAACCAGCTTCAAATTTTCCAAGGATGTGTAAGGTAACGAGGACTAGACTCTTGAAACAACTGACTTGTGCGGGCGCCCTATGATCAATGTTGTAAGACCCATTACGAGCATCCTGGAATGATCTCAGATAACTTACAAAAATTCTCGGCGGCGGAGCTTCAAACATTGAGAAAAGTTGCCTCATAATTCGACGACAGTGGAGAGGGAAACTGAAGTGTGTTGGCGCAGATTTGACCTTTTTGTGTAGAATATTGTGAATTTTTTATTCCCGCTAAATTATGTTGTATAATTTTCAATTCAACTCTCTCAACTGCTTCACTGTTTAATGGCTGATTACTCGTAGGGCCAGGATAATACCCACCTACTTTTGTTTGTGTGCAGACAAATTTGTTGATGCAGTGAAAATAATTAAAAAAGCAAACTTTGAATCGTTGGCCATGAGGGTCAAGTGTGGCATGCTGGTGTCAGAAGCCAGACACAGGTATGGCTGAACTGTGGAAAGTGGAGTCACAGTACACATTCATTATATTTCACAGTAAGAGAGGGAGTGAATTACAATCTTGGGCTCTCCACAGGTAGGTTGAGGACAATACGTAATACGAAAACAATTTCATTTAAACTTCATTGACTTGAGTCTGAGGGAGAGTAACACTAGTCAGTTGACTTCAGTCTGAGGGAGAGTGACACTAGTCAGCTAACTTGAGTTTGAGGGAGTGATACTAGTCAGTCCATCTATCAACATTCCATCTTGCAGGAGGAGCCGCATGTCTACGGTGTATCCAAAAGCATAAGCATAAGCCACACTAATATTTTTGTAAGTGAATTCAATTCTACACAAATAACACATTACCACTGCAACCAGATATAAACATGTAAATAGTTCATTGCCACTGTAACTTGCTTAGTTATCAAAACTTTAACGCCCAGTCTCTGGACCCATTATGTGCCTCTGTGATATTTTGACTACCGTCCATAGGCTGGGTCTGGGGTATATAATAAACATATTAAAGTAACGTTGGCATCTATGTTATAACTGGAGAATGGTTCATCTAATAGGCTTCAAATTTTCACCATTGGTGTAGTTTCCAAAACGTAAGGCTTACACTGTCATATGTTCACATAAGTCCCAATTTGCATATTTTATTGAATAAATAGTGATATTTATATTCAATAACTGAAGAATGGTTCTTTTGATCGGTTTCATTATATTATTGGTAATGCATTCTGTATGAAGGATGATGTCCTATTAGTCTTGAGTAGTCGCAAATTTAAAAATTTTATTAAAAATGTTTAAAATATAGAATAGCTGGAAACAGGTCAATTACTAGAGAATGCCTTTTCTGATCGGCTTCAAACTTTCATTACTGGTGGGCTTTAATAAAAGAAAGCTTACTTTGAGTCGTGGAAATTTCAATTTTCCTATTTTATTACGCACATTGTTTCTCATGTTACAACTAGAGAATGTCTATTTCAGATTAGCTTCAAACCCTAAACAGTGGTGCATTTAAATTTGCCATTTTTAAAGCATTTTTATTAAAGAGGTTGTCTCAAAAAAATCATAAATATTTTTCTTATGGGACTAGAGAATTAAAAAAAAGGGCAATTATAAATTTAATGAGGATAGATTTTCTTATTTTCAGGAAACAGGTGTCTCTGAGATAATATGAGAATGCCTCTTCAGTTTAGCGTCAAAACTGGCCCTTCTTAATGGAAAACTTGAATTAGATTTGGCTTGTTATGTTCTATGTTGTCATTTTTATTAAGTAACTGGGTTAGTAATTTTCATATGATGACCTGTGAGTGCCTCTTCTGATCAATTCAATTCAGCTTTTACCGCGCTCTGCACTATTTCAGTCGCATGTAGTGAGGTACAATGAACTGGGGTTATGCAAACGGGGATATCTTCAGCCAATAACGCAGCGGCTGCAGTACATCTGGTTGTTATTATTATTATTTTTATTACTATGGTGAAAGGTTTAAACTCGTACGGGAAAGGAGGTAATCTGCTTTAGATACAAATAAGAGAAGGTAGCTCTAATTACTCGGACCAAGAGCCCTTCACCAACATTAAGGTAACCCTCTTAAAGGGACCTTTCATAGAGATCTAGTGATGTGTTAAGTTAATGTTTGTGAAGTGAAGTGTTAATATATGTAATCCTCACAACATTAAAACATTGAATGTATCCACATAATGTTAATATGATAGAATTCTCATTACGTATAATCATCCAACTTTGTACATCCACATTTGTACAAACTTTGCATTATGCTGAAATAATCTAATATAATCTAATTAACTGAAGACCACTAAATCATTCTAAAATATTAATACACACACTTAAAATTGTCCTGTTGTAATATTCTAAGTTGTACTAATTGTAATATTTTTAATTGCTTTTTGGAACCTCTCTTCTATAAATCTTATTAATTATAAAATTTTTGGCTACCTCTCTTTTGTAATAATGTAAAATAATGAATAATTAAAATTCACCACTCCATAGCCTATTTCCAGTTTTAAGTAGTCTGTAAACATTAATATTAGTTTGCCAGAAATGCTGAGGCATGTTAATGGCTTTCTTTGTACTTAACAATATTTTATAACATGTAAATCACACATTGTATACTATGCAAAGAAATAAAAAATATTTTTAATTTAACTTAATTTAATGTTAGGGTACACAGGACGAGGCTTGACCAATGTGTTTAGGCTCCTCAGGGTTCGCCGGGCACCCAACCAAACTATCTTACCATACAAGAAGACAATTGAACGTCTATGATTTTATACGAATAACTAGTTAGCTGGAGTCAAAGAAGGCGGGGTAGAGGTCAGCCCCGAAAAGGTTGGAGGGAGGAGGGTAAAGCAGGTTGTAGGCGAGGGGCTTGGACTTGCAGCATGATTGCGTGAGCGTGTTAGATAGGAGTGAATGGAGACAAATGGTTTTTGGGACCTGACGAGCTGTTGGAGTGTGAGCAGGGTAATATTTTGTGAAGGGATTCAGGGAAATAGGATAGCCGAACTTGAGTCCTGGAAATGGGAAGTACAATGCCTGCACTTTAAAGGAGGGGTTTGGGATATTGACATTTTGGAGGGACATGTGAACTGTCGTATCTGGGCGCCTCTGCAAAGAGTGATTATGTGTGAGTGATGATGAATGATGTGTAAGTTTTTTCTTTCTTTTTGGGTCACCCTGCCTTGGTGGGAGACAGCCTACATGTTAAAAAATGTAGTTAAATATGTCTGAACATTATTTATTGGTGGTCAGAGTACGAGGAAGATGTTATACAAGGAGAATAGTGTCAGATGGTTAAATTAGAAGCGAAAGTGAATGAACTGAAGAAAGGATGATTAGTATGAAAAAGTTTCAGAAGAAAGGTTGATAAGAACGAGATAAAATGATATATGTTCGAGGAGGTTGGGGTATTTATTTAAGAATATCGTGTTAGAATGTCCAGTAGTGGTTTGTCTTTACAAACGAGTGGGTGCAGGAGAGAAAATGAATGGCTGGTGGAATGGGGGATAAGAAGGTGGGAGCGGATAATAAATTTACATATGAAATATGGCGGATGAAAGTTATGTAAGGTAGAATATATGGAAAGAAGAGCACATAAGGAAGGAGTACAAAAGAGAGCAAATTAGCGAATGGATGAAACAAAAAATTTTTGCCAAGAATAAGAAACAATTTTTTTTTTGAATGGAGATAAAAAGAAAAGGATAGAAAAGCCTGTGGAGCAAATAGACTTGCCAATCTAGAGTGAAACTTCTGTGGAAGTTTAAATATATTTGATGGGAAGAGCGGTTACATTTCAGAGATGGAGAGTATATTTTGAGAAGTTAACGTGGACTATGAAATGAAGGGGAAAAGATTTCCTGCATGGGACAGGGAGGAGCTAAGAAAGAGCCAGAAATCAGTATTCAGAAAGTGAATGAAACAGTGAACAGGTTGAAAAGGAAGAAAATATCTGGGAGTGAATACGTCGGCAGATGGGTCTGTGAAAGACGAGGTGAATCACAGGCATGATCTTTGAATGTTGTAACAACGAGACTGGAAGATGTATTTTAAAGATCACTGGAGGAAGGGGATATATATTTTTTAAGATCACTGGAGGTAGGGAAGATGTTTTAAGATCAGTGGAGACAGGATATATGTTTTAAGATCAATGGAAGCAGAAGAGATGATTTTAAGATCAATGTGTGATGTGAATATTATATATACTGTAGAATATGAAATGAAATATTAGAAGTCGCCTTGATAATATGAAAAGCATAATTCGCTAAGAGGTAAGAGGATTTGTGAAATACTTTGATTCTTTAGGAAAAAAATGGCTACTGATAAACTTGTATAAATGTGGGGTGGCATCCAAAGAAACACTGGAAGGAGGGTATGAAGAGTGCCAGAAGTACATTAATTATATTTACACCCAACAAGCATGTGCGAGTGTGTTAGATGACAGTGGAGACACTTGGTGTTTGGGACTGATGTGCTGCTGGAGTGTGTAAGCAAGGCATTATCTTATTATCTATGAAGGAATTCAAGAAAACTAGTTAGTCGTATATGAGTTTTAGAGGTGGGAAGTACAGCGCTTGCAATTTGAAAAATGGGTGGGGATGATGTGGTTTTTTTTGTCACTGGATCACGATTTATGTGCACTTTTCTGGAAAGAGTACGCGGAAGTGAGTGATGGTAAATGTGTTTTTCTTCTGTGAGTCACACTGCTTTGGCAGAAAACGGCTGATGTTGACAAAAAAATCTAGTCATTTTACGATCACTGATCAAGTTTACTTAAGACAGGAATGATGCACCCTTCACAATGGTTGGTGACGACGCTCGCAGCTCTGCTCAGCCAAACACAAGCTCCTGCAGAAGTGGTTATGGGTGTGGGGAAAGAGGCTGTAGGCATAGAGAATGAGAACGTGGTGAGCTTGGAGGAGGAAGAGGAAGTGGAAGGCGTAGAGGTGCTGGAGCAGTTCGTAGATCAGCACCTACCTGGGTGCCACTTAGTGCTTCTCACTGCAACTAGCAATTCACCTGTTTTCTCCAGTATTTTGAGGTGACTCGGTTTCCACTCTCCGCCGATTATTGTTATTTTCGTTATATTATTATTGTTATTATTTAATATTACTGCTATTATTGTTTATGATGATGCTAATTGTTATACGTTGTTGTCAAAGCCAAAACGTCCAAAATGTTTGCCTCTGACCCCTTCAGACGAAGCAGCGCAACTCTCAAATCTGCAGTGGTGGTAGACTTAGCTTCCTTGTACCGCCAGGAGCAGCAACAACAGCAGCAGACTCAGCAGCAGGTGGCCAAACAGTATAGTCAGCAGCAGGTTATTCAAGACGCGGACCATGAATCTCGTAATCAAGTAGCTTATGTAGCCCATGTCAGGGCAGCTCAGGACAAGATAACCCTAGAACAAGTAGTCCAAGACAAAATAACTCAAGATCAAATAACCCTGGACAAGGTAGCTCAAAGGAAGTTAATCAAAGGGTTGTTCGGTGGTCTGAATACCAACTGTCGCAGTGTTGTCTTAGATATAAGCAAATCTGACAACATTAGTCGTGCCCTGAGGTAATTTAAATATATTTAATCGTATTAGTAATAATCACCTGTGTTATTACTTTAGAGTTACAATTAATATGTAAAGCTATATTTATATTTAGGATCACTAGTTACAGGGGTTTAAGTACCCAGAAATAATCACTAGAAGAACGGCAAGCAGATCCAACAAGACCTAAGTACAAATAACAGCTTGTTTGTTCATCTCAGTGGAGTCCATGATGCGCCCAAGTATTGTCTCAGTGGTCCACCAGTGACCACCACCGTACATGTCAGGAAGTTTGTAAGATGTGATATTTAGGAATTTATAGGTAATGCACAAATTGGAATTGAAAACTGGACGATATTGCTGTCCATTTTGGAGTATGACCAAGCAGAGAGTTGTCCAAGATGGCCCGAAACATCGTCCATTTTTTTTATTTCTAATTTGTGGCTTAGTTGCGAATTGTTGCAGTCAAGGTGTTGTGACTGGGACTACCTTAGCAGTATAATATATCAGAGACCTTTCCCTCTGTGATGTCCAGGGCCCTCCTGTTTCTCCTCCTCCACCCCCCTCCCTCAAGGATAACCTCGCCCCCTTCCTTGCAATCCACCACACAAATCTTGAGAGGCGACTTTCATAACAGTGCATAAATATATTTTATAAAATCTTGGATAAGAGTGGAGTGTATAAGCGCTGAGATGTTTCAAGTGTGGCGCTACTTAACTCTTATAAAACACAAATAACCCGCACATACGGCGCTTGAAACTCATGACGACGTTTCAGTCCGATTTGGGCCATTAACTAATTACAAATGTGGCTAGTAAATGATTCAAGTGGAACCGAAACATCGTCACAAGTTTCAAATTTCCCATGTGCGGGTTATTTGTGTATTGTTCCAGTAACGGTTTTGTATTTTTTTTTTAAGTTTCATAATTTTTCAATAGGTACATATTAAGATCGTGTGCATGATGGGTGAGTCATAACCTGAGTATCGCAGCTTGAGAATGTTTTCATAATGTAGCCACTAAGACATGCTATCCACACACCCTTTCATTAAGAAAAGAAATGTAGCGAGTTCTGGTATATTGACGCTTTCCTTCACCCCAATGATCAGTGTTTTGCTTGTACATTATTATTAAATTAATACGATCGTTAAACTCGTATGGAATATTAGGCTCTATATTCCGTCTGTTAACTTTAGTAAGCGCGTGCATACACACACACACACACACACACACACACACACACACACACACACACACACACACACACACACACACACACACACACACACACACACACACACACACACACGCACACAGGAGGCAGGATCCATACATAGCTTTAAGAAGAGGTATGATAAAGCTCATGGAGCGGGAAGAGTGACCGAGTAGCAGCTAGTGAAGAGGCGGGGCCAGGAGCTGTGACCCGACCCCTGCAACCACAATTAGGTGAGTACACACACACACACACACACACATTATTTCTAAGAGGCGCAACAATTAAGTTAATATGTCCCTCTATTACCATCATTAATATATGCCAATATTACTGAAAGTGTCAGTTAGTCACTTTTCCACAATGTTTCATAAAGAAAAGTTAAATGGGTTTGAGAAGGCTTCAGGGTGCAAATCATTTCTGGCTGTCTGGTACAGTCCAGCAGCACCAACAGCCTGAATGATAAGAAACTGGGCCTTGAATTGCGAACGGTGAATCAATCCTCTACCACTCTACGAGCTAAGTGATCCTCACGGGTTTACCAATATATATTTTTTTCCAACTCTACTGTCCTATGTGTTGACCTCAGATTGTTGTGATTCCCTGACGAGTCCTTATGATACTGCATAATTAACCCAGTAAATGATTCTAGGTTAGACAATGTGGAGATGTTTGCTCTCTCACGTCTGCTACTGACATGCTCTCCACAAACTTCCCTCAGGGAAGGTTCCTCCTTACTGCTGCTGCTGGGGTGCTGATCGATGGAATTAGACCTGTTCCACCCCTCCTTGGAGAGAACCTGATTGCCTCCTATTTTCCCCTGTCGATGTTTGATCCCTGCGGGTTTAGGACTTCCCCTAATACAATAATAGGCACTCATTGGTCTGACTAAATGTATTTAGGTCGCTTCGCGATTCCAGAAATGTATCCCCATATTGCATAACCCCAGCCCCATGTACCTCATTGCGTGAGAAAACCTATCAAAGGCTTATGTACCTTTGGTACGTAACGTACCAATTTAATATAACCATCTTGAAGGCACACATGTTATATGCACATAAAAGTACATTATGTACATTTAACATAAGATAACCAGTAAAATCAAACAATGTGACTTATTTCTGATCAGAAGAGACATTTTCCGGTTATTTCACAGAAACCAATTTGATTAATAAAACTGACACATTAAAACTTACATAACCTATAATCAAGACGAAGCTTAATTTGAGGAAAAAACATCAGCACCAAAAGTTTAAAGCTGACCACAAGATGTATTCTCCAGTTATTGCACAGAATACAACAAAATTTGCACCTACACAGCATATGCCCAAAAAGCGTATTTTTCCATTTTTTTAAGATGAATCAGCCATTAAAGACTGATGACGTTCAGAAATGTTTTATTTAATGAGGGGAAAGAGCTAGACGATAGAGGTTATATACCACCTGTAGAATGGGAGTCATTCAAATTAGATCCAAGCAAGGGGAAGATAAATCTAGTTCCATGGATCAGGAGCCCTTACCAGGATCAAGACAAAATAATGCAATAATGTAAAAATAATTTCGAGAGTAAAAGTGGCAAGATGACATTTACACACTCCATTAACAATGCAAACTGTCTTCTAGGTAAGATACATGAGTGTGGAAATTTTGAAATCATTCAAAGGAGGCTTTCTGAAGTTTCCTTCGAAACCAATTTCGGGAACAGCCTATACAAAACTGAGCAGAGGACACTTGCACCTGTCCATTGTTCCACGAACCTTCATATAGTAATAGTTGCAGGGCTGAAAATTTGAAGCCGACTGAATAAAGTTTTTTGACATTATAAAAGAAAGCCTTGGAGGACGTTATTAAGGGATGAGAACACTGTAGCTTACAATATGGCGGCTCTGCCAGTAAATACTACAATATTTAACAGGGGTTCGCTAAACTCAAGAAAATTAAAAAACCCATGAAACAGTTTTCAATATTTCTCAATTTTCTATTTGTAGTTCTAATTTATTTAAATTTCTCTTTAGTCTCCTAAGAAAAATATTTGATTTGTTTTTAATAAAATCCAGTATATTATAAAAAAATTAAATTGACAATCTGGTATGTACAGAGTACAAATTCGGCACAGAAAATATTTCCACTAGAGATACATCAAAACTTTAATATCTGAATCCGATCAGAAGAAGCATTCTCTAGTTATTATATGGAAACAGTGAGGTAGCCAGGTTCTAAACTTAGGGTTAGCGAGCACACACTACTACCACTACATCTCTACTTCCTTTAATACTACCTCTCTTGTCCCGTCCCTTTCTGCTCGACTATATATACTGCCCTCTTCTCTCCTATAATAATAATAATAATAATAATAATAATAATAATAATAATAATAATAATAATAATAATCTTTATAAATTACAAGTACATGTACAAGGTATACAGTCCTAGCTGACATCAATGACATATTACTATATAGAAAGCCGCTTGTTATGCAGAGCATTTCGGGCAAATTAGGTCGGTTTTGTCCCAGGATGCGACCCACACCAGTCTACTAACACCCGGATTCCCATTTTACTGATGGGGAACATAGACAACCGGTGTAAAGAAACACGCCCAATATTTCTACCCTCGCTGGGAATCAAACCCAGACCCTTGCTGTGTGAAGCAAAGGCTTTAGCCAATAGGCCATGTGACTTTGTCGGACAGAAACGTCGTCGTAAGCTCCTATCTCCTATGTGCGGGTTATATGTGTATTGTTCCAGTCACGGTATTGTGCCTTTTTGTTATTTAAGGCGCCATGATACTTACCGAATAATTTTAAATTCATTATACAGTTCAAAACACTGGGAGGCTGGTTGAATAAAATAATGAATCCAGAAAGTTCTTCCAAGGCCATGCGATTAAAAAAAACAATAAAAAAAAGATATTCGACTTTTATCGTACAAGTTAACTAGAAAAAAAATATTGAAAAGGCGCCACTATTGAAAAATGTGCTCTCGGGAAGCGGTCGCTCCCTTTGCTCTCTCTCTCTGTAGCTGCGCCACTGCAAGGAAACATATGTATTTAATAAAACTGGCAGTTTAAAATTTACATAACTCAGTGTGAAAGTTAAGATTTATTTTAATAAAGCCCAATAACACTGAAAATCTGCAGCCTCTCAGAAGAGCATTCTTCAGGAAGTGTTGTGAATCCAACAGTTTCATTAACACTTCAAATTTGTACCTAAACAGAGTGAACTTTCAATGTCATCCTTCTTATGAAATGTATCAACGTTAATATTTTTGAAGCCGATAAGACAAGACATTCTTTAGTTATTGAAAAAGAAATCAATATTACTATTTATTTCTTAAAATTGGCAAATTGGGATTTATGAAGGCGATAACAACGCCAACCATGGTTTCTGGAAACCTCACCCCCCACGGCTGAAAATTTGAAGTCGATCAGAAGAGGCATTCTTTAGTTATAACACGGATTCCAACGATTCCAAGTTTTGTACATAAATGGTATACAATACCGACAAGATGAAGAATTAGTCACATGTGCAATATCTGGATATCATTATTTGTAGACGTTTCGCCAACCAGTGGCCTTATCAATACAATACTGGGGAATCCCGCCTACCAGTGACAATACCTTCATCTACTGCACATCATACACCCGACGCCGGTATATAACGCCAAGCTCCATGACCGTGCTTCGATTCCTTCAAAACTAATTACTTCATATTTTGTATATAATTCTTCACATTATGTCTTTGTATTGATAAAGCCATTGGTTGGAGAAACGTCTATAAATACGATATCCAGATGTTACACATTTCTAATGATTCAAGGTTTTATAAAAAAAATGCACTGATAAATTTGGCCACAGATAAACCAAACGTAATCCTACTATCTTCGGCTTAGGATGCATCAGGCCAGTGGCCTGGTGCCACAGCTCTCGCTTCACACGCTGAAGGTCCGGGTTCCATTCCCGAGAAGGGTGGAAACATTGGGCGTCTTTCCTTACACCAGTTGTCCATGGACACCCATCAGTAAAATGGATACTTGGGTGTTAGTCGACTGGTGTGGGTCGCATCTGGGGACAAAACTGACCTAATTTGGTTGAAATGCTGTGCATAACATGTGGCTTTCTATATAGTAGTATGTCATTGATGTCAGCTAGGACTGTATACCTTGTACATGTAGAAATAAAGATATTATTATTATTATAAATAATGAAGCCGTTCAGAAGCGGTAAACTCAAACATATTAAACGTGATATATCAGGAATAAAAATTTCCCACTATTTTAGCCGTTGTCGTATTAAGAGGCATCTTTCTGACTTCTGAAATTCCGCCACTGAGGGTTTTGGAAGTTATGGGAGCCATTACAGGATGCTGAGAATGGGTCTACAACCTGGGTGATAGGGCACGTGAACATACCAATTGTTTAA